GAAATAAAAGGTACCATAATAAAAATAAAATAGGAAATCCAGAATATGCAAATATCCATATTAATGGAGGCAACCTTGACTACGGGTAAGCACTGGACTACTAACCATAAGATTAGTAGTTCAAACCTACCAGCTGCTCCTTGGAAACCCTATAACAGGGTTTCTATGAGTCAGAACTGGCTCAACCTCACTTATATCAACCAACATCAACCTGGACTAGTGGTGTGGTGCTGTAAGATAAGCACTAGACTGCAAATTCCAAGGTTGGTGGTTCACAATCCACCAGCCACTCCCTGGAAACCCAATGCATGACTCTTACAAGTCCGAACCAACTTGACGGCACTTACTAACAACAACAACTTTGACTGTTATCCTTAAACTAAATAGGAACAATGTTGTGTGCCGTGGAGTCGGTTCCGACTCAGAGCAACCCTGTACAGGCTTTCCAAGGCTGTAAATTGTTGCGGGAGCAGAAAGCCTCATCTTTCTCCCGTGGAATAGCTGGGAGTTTCGAACTGCTGACCTTGAGGTTCACAGCCCGATTCGTAACCACTATGCTAGCTTATACCAAAAGCTAGCTAACAACAATAAAACCAACACAGGGTCATCAGAGGTTCAAATCCACCAGTTGCAACTTGGCAATTCTATACAGTGTTGGTATACATTAAAACTGATTCGACGGCACTTGAGAACAACAGTTTTATCAAAAGAATGTTTTAGCACCAATCTGTTTATTATACAACAACTAGTATACACAGTTCTAGAAATTATTCAGATGAGTCAAGAGAAGGACCAGCAAGTCTTCACAAAAGCACTATTTGATTCTACTGTAACCCTGGATGAAGTGGGCCTGCAAAGCACACTCCTTCCTATAAAACCAGGAGAGTTGATTTAGGAGCGAAGAGAAAATATACAGATGTGTGATACTGAAGTCAGCAGAACCTGGCTTCTATTTTGTCCTTAGGAGGTCTGTGGAATGCAACATGAGCTAAACCAGAGCATGAACTGGAAATTAGATGCGCTCAGGGTTCAGGGCCTAACTCCACTGTGGATTAGCTGAAGACGTCAGGCAATTTACTTAACCTATTACGCTTCTTTTTCCTCTTCCATATCATGGTAAAACTAAAAGCTGCCTTCATATTAATAAGCAAAATGATCATTATGAGACCAGACAGCAATTCCTCAACTATTTAATGCTTCTCTTCCTTCCTTCCTACCTTCTCAAGTAACACTCTCATCTGCAGGTATGTTACTAGACTCACAATGGATTTAAAAGTTTCAAGTTATCTGGTGTCACAAATAATTTAATGTAAAGGCATCAATTTCTCCTGTCCTATGACAGCTAACCTAGCTATGTTTGACTCCTGTTACAATTGATGGAATTCATGGCTACTTATCTGATGGCTGTTCATGAATGAGTCTGCAAGTTTTCCTCACGAGTCTTCCGTACAGTAGTAACACTGAGCTGGTACGCATGCTGGAACCTGTTACTGAGGGAACAACCCTGGTCTCAAGAGTTTCCTTGTCAAAGTCAGTACAGAAGAGTGGCCAAGTTAGAGAGACTCTTTATTGCCCAATGCTTACTCACCCAAGGAATGCTCAGGAAATGTGTGCTATTCTATCACAGCCTATAATTATACTGTTTTCTGATGTTTGTGAGACTCCATGGATTGGAGAAATATTTCCAAAGACATTATTTTCAGAATCTTAATAGTTTTTGGGCAAAAAACAAAACAAAACAGTTTCATACTGAAATGAGTTGAAGAAACATTTAAATTGAAGATTTTTTTTTTTAATTGCAGCACATCTAAGAGACTGTAGTGGAAATATCCAAGAAGAAGCTAGGAAGGACAGGCTCTTGAAATTGTAATTTTTAATCTTAGGATTGATTAGAGACCATAGACGTAATTAGTGATTTCTCTGTAATCAATTATCTCAGCCTGGGCTAAGATCTGGATTAGGGACAGGACTCTCTTTTATATTCTGAAGTCAATCTAACACTAGTAAAAAGTTAATCATTTCTGCCTTTGTGTTAAACCTTTGTGATATAAGTAAATCTAATATGTTGTTCAGGGAATGAGAAGGCTATGTGATTAAGAGTCTGAGCCTTGACAATGAAATGACTTACTGAATCTGGCTAAAAACAGGGCTCTCGTCAACAAAGCTGTGCTCATAAAAAGTATTGTCCACATACACTGCTCTGTGGCACCATAGGATCAGCACTGCACTGCTAACCACAAGGATGGTGGTTCAAATCCACCAGCTACTCCTTGAAAACCCTAAACAGGATCCATATGAGTCAGAACTGACTCGACGACACTTAGAACAACATAGTCTACTTGGGGTTTTGGTGTGGCACTGTAGGATAAGGACTGCTAACTGCAAGTTCAGTGATTCCAACCCATCAGCCACTCCTCGGAAACCCTATACAGGTCACTACGAGTTGGAACCAACTGAATGGGATTTAACACCGTATCCTACTCGGTAAGTAGTGACTGGTGACTGGTTGAATGTAAAACTGATGGTCTGCTCTGTAAACTTTCACTCAATTCACAATTAAAAGTTAAAAATAAAAAAAGGACTGTCAAAATAAATGTGGAAAGAAATTCAAAAGACACAAGGCCACAGTATCCCCTACTTCTCTTCCAATGACTGCATCTTTTTCTAGGGACAAGAACCGCATGAACATAATTAAGTATTCTGGACTATCCATTCTTTGCACTGTTACCAATACACTGTTATAATTCATAGTTGGATGTCTTTGAATAGTCAATAAAGCACAAGTAAACATCTTTCTGGTGTTCTCTGCTTTTGGCCAAGATTCATCTGATTATCAGCAATGATACCTATCTGTGTACTCTTCTGACTTCAGCTTAAACCTCAGGTGGACCCTGGGTACGTATTGCTGCAATCGTTTTTGAACTGTCTTTAGCAAAATTTTATATATATATTCTTGTGTCATGCTGTAGGATAAGCACTGGACTGCTAACTGAAAGGTCAGCAGTTCAAACCCACCAATCATTCCTTGGAGACCCTATACAGGGTCTCTATGAGTTGTAAGCAACTGACTCAACAGTAATTAAAAACAACATATGTGTGTGTTTATGTATATAAGTTTATATATATATATATAAACTTATATGTGCATGTATATATTTATATGAAGAACCTGGAAAATTTTCACATCACAAAGAAGCTACAAGCATGAAACAGTCTTCCTCTTTAGTTGATGTCTCTAAGATTTGTTCAGTTCTAGTGGTTAAAATATTTAGTTGTTGAATTAAGGAGAAGGAATAGAGTACCTGTCATATGTAATTCTTAACTATATGCTGTATCCACAGGCATTTTTCCTAGGATTCAAATCTTGTTCATTAAGATCCTGGTTTATAAAACTGAATTTTGATCTCTGTTCTTCTGTGGCAACCATTTTTACCTTCTCTGAACTCCTATTACCCTGAGAAGAAGCCATCTTGCTTGAATTCGTAAGTGTCTTCACAATAAAATTGCTGTTGTTGTTAAGTGACATTGAGTCGGTTCCAACCAATAGTGACCCTGTATAGGGTTTTCAATACCTATTTTTGAATTTTACAATACAGGATCTTAAAGATTATATTTTAAATATAGTCCAAAATTACAGTAAAGACTATACTTTATTTAAAGAGTCTCAGGTTGGCACAAAGATCAATAAAAAACAAAATTGATGGTTTAATCCCACCCAGAGAGATAAAACACTCTGTTATACAGGGCTTAAAAAAAAAACACTATGGAGAAGTTCTACCTTAATATAACATGCTGATGTTGTTGAGGTCAAGTGCCATCTCGTTGGTTCTGACTCATAGTGGTTGGTGACTCTGAACTGCTTTTGTGGTCGAGTTCTTATTCTACAGCGCCACATCAGGACTCCCTGACACACATGTTGCTGTTGTTATTAAGTGCTATCGAGTCAGTACTGACTCATAGCAATCTTTTGCACAGCAGAATGAAACACTGCCTGATCCTGGGCCAACCTTACTACTGTTGCCACGCTTGAGTCCATCGATGTTGCCACTTAGCCAATCCATCTCGTTGGCGGTCTTCCTCTTTTTCTCTGACCCTCAACCTTACCAAACATGATGTTCCTTTCTAGTGACTGGTCCCTCCTGACACTATGTCCAAAGTACGAAAAATGAAGTTTGGTCATCTTGGCCTCTAAGGAGCTGCACTTCTTCCAAAACAGATCTATTGGTTCTTTTGGCAGCCCACGGCACCTTCAATATTCTCCTCCAACATCATAACTCAAAAGCATCAATTCTTCTACGGTCTTCCTTATTCACTGTTCGCTTTCACATGCACATGAGACTATTGAAAATACCATGGCTTGGGTCAGGCACACTTTAGTCCTCAAGCTGGCATCTTTGCTCTTCAATGCTTAGAAAAGGTCTTGTGCAGCAGATTTGCCTAATGCGATATGTTGTTTGATTTCTTGACTGCTTCTTCCATGAGTGTTGATAGTTGATCCAAGAAGAATGAAGTCCTTGACAACTTCAATTTTTTCTCCATTGATAAGAATGTAGTCGTCTCTTATGCTGTCTAAAGAAGGTATCTGAAATGAACAAATCATTGATTTTGCAGAATTCTATCTTGTGTTCTCCAGCATCATTTCTATCACTAAGGCCATATTTTCTAACTACTAATCCTTCTTCTTTGCTCCCAACCTTTGCATTCCAATCACCAGTAATGATCTATTGATCCTGATTGCATGTTTGATCAATTTCAGACTGAAGAACTTGGTAGAATTCTTCTATTTCATCCACACTGGCTATAGTGGTTGGTG